GGGAGGAGCGTGGGGACGTGTGGTCTCCTATGGGGTCATGGAGCCCTGAGCAGCTGCTGGGACACTTGAGCAGGCATGGGGACACCGTGAGGGTGGGGCCGCGGTGAATGCAGCGAGTGCGCCGGGCAGGGGACAGCACGGGAACACGAGCAGAGGCACTGGTGGGAGGCAGGTCCCTCCGCCAGGGCCACAGTCGCGTGTGGCTGGAGCCACCTTAAGGTGTCGGTGTGGGGGAGGGACGGACAGGCTGCGGGGGAGGGCGATGTCCCGGTCCTGTGCAGTTCCCGTGTTCCCGTTCTTGTCCCGTTGCAACATGGCCCTGCGGAGGGTGCTGGCGCTGGCGGCAGCCCTGGGGCGCCGCAGCTGCTGCTCCAAGGTGGGGCCGGGGCTCCAAGGGCCACTCAGGTCCTGACGCGGCCACTTGGCCTCGTGGCCGCGACCAGACCCTCCCCAGGGCATCCCTGACGCGTCCCCGTTGTTGCCCCCGCAGCCCCCGCTGCCCCCTGACTTCGTGGAGGCCCTGAGGGCCGTGGTCGGGACCCCCAATGTCTCCACGGCCACCGCGGTGCGGGAGCAGCACGGCCACGATGAGTCCATGCACCCGTGAGTGCCCCCGGAGCCGGGAGCCCTGGGGAGGGGAAGGACCGTGGGAAGGGGCACAGGGAAGGGAGGAGACCGGGGAAGGCAGGAGCCACTGGAAGGGGAAGGGGCACAGGGGAGGGGCCGGGCCCGAGGATGGGAAATACTTGGGTGGACAAGGGGCCGAGGGGAAGGGAAGGGCCCTGTGACAAGTCCAGGCTGGGGAAGGGCCATGCGGAGGGAGGCGGAGGCGGTGAAGTCAGTCGGTCAGTGGTGCTGCCTGTCCCCCAGCTGTGCCCCCCCGGACGCCGTGGTGTGGCCCCAGGCGGTGGGGCAGGTGCAGGAGCTGGCAGCCCTGTGTCACCGCCGCCGGGTGCCCATGGTGCCCTTTGGCACCGGTACCGGCCTGGAAGGAGGCGTCAATGCCGTGCAGGTATCGGCTCCCCGGCACCTCTGGCCCCCAGGGGCTCTCGGTGCCCGGCCGTGCCCAGACTCTCAGGTGCCCCTGTGCCAGGGCGGTGTCTGCTTTGACCTGAGCCGCATGGACGCCATCGCAGAGCTGAGCCTCGAGGACTTCTCGGTGACCGTGGAGCCCGGTGTCACCCGCAAGGCCCTCAATAAGCACCTGCGTGGCACCGGGCTCTGGTTCCCTGTCGGTACCGTGGGTGTGGGGGGAGTCCTGGGGCTGGGGTGACATAATGTAGGGTGTGGTGATGAGAAGAGACTTGAGCTGCGGATTGTGGCGTGTCCATAGGTGTGGTGATTGCAGGGCAGCAGCAGAGGTACCTCTAGGACTGAGGCTGCCATGGTTCCTGAGGTTTTGGAAGGGATGGATAGCCAGGACCAGGAATGCTTGGTATCACGTGCTACCATCCTCTCTGCCACACCAAACCCATAGGTCCCATGGTGACCATGGCCCCTGGCACAGTGCTAAGGGACACTCATACTGGTTCTGGGGCCATGTGGCCCCAGTGCCTTGCCCTGCCACCCCCAATCCTCATTTCCCCCCAACCTTCCTAGGCCCATCCCTTGTGTCCCATCATCCCTCCATGCACCAGCAGTCTCCAAAGCATAGAAGATCTTCTAGGAGGGCAGGATCTCCCCAGCCCTGCCACAAGGCCTCTCCCTCACCACAGCAGGCACACACAGATACCCAGGAGATAAGGGGTGTTTTCTAGGCAAGTCTTTATACTGCTGAGGGACTTGGGGCCAAGTTTTGAGGGGGCTGCCAAGCTGCCATGTGGTAGCTCCGGGAACCAGCGGAAGCTTCCCCTGTGTTCAAAAGGCACCAATTTTGGTTCACGTTTCAGTTATAGCTGGTACTGTAGCACAACCCGAGACGTGAGAACGCACAAGTTAGCCCCTTCCTGCCCCAGCGGCTCCCCACCACCCCTAAACCCCATGGGGACCCCTATCCCCAGCCTCCAGCACACAAGGGGACAGTACAACCCATTTCTGTCACTCTGTCCCACCATCACAGAGGATGGCTTCCACACCGTTAGAATCTCCTGGCCACCATGGAGTTCTCCAGAGTGCACCGTAGAGTCCTCCCGAGAGCAGAGCAGCCACAGCATGCACAGCAGCCACAAAGGGCATCTCAATTTGCCAGCCACATCCTTGACTCACCAGGGACATGGCCCCATGCCCTTCAGCCCAGAACTGGCTGCCAGTTTTGTATGGAGAGAGGAGAGTGGGGAAGGAATGGAAATAGATCCATCTCCCAGCTTTGCTTCATTATGGGCACAGCTCAAACCATTCCTGGCCCCTGGCCAGAGGGAGGAGGAAGGGGTATGATGGCTGCAGCCCCTCACCTCTGTTCCCACAGAGCCCCAGCCCCCCGGTGCATGTGGGAGTCTCTATGTACATGTCTGCTTACACCAGGTGGAGAGGACTTGCATGGAGGGAAATGTATGTCTAGGGATGGGGACCAGAGAGAGGGGACAGTGGTTCTGAGGCCATCACATGGCTGCCAGCTGGCCCAGCACCATCCTGAACTGCTGTGTGCTGTTGGCGAGGTCCTTGACACGCTCCACCATGTCCTTGGAGGCAGAAGGAGATGGGTAGTGAAGGGCAGCAGCCTTGGTGGTCATCACAATCTCCTTGAGCATCTCACAGAGGAGGTTGCTGTAGTGCATCACCTTGTGCTGGACGTCCTGGGCCTTGGCCTGGCGGGACAGCGTGTCCCCAATAAAGACAAGCTTGTGGGCACTGAGGATGACAAACTTGCTATGGGCCACGAAGATCTTGGGAGGTTGGTTGGTGCTGACAGCAGTGAAGAAGGCATCAACAGCGTTGGTGAGCGTGGTGAGGTTGGCCTCGCACTGCTCCAGGTAGAAGAGGAGGAGCTGGCGGTCAGCAGGACACAGTGTCCCACCACCCCGCGCCGGGCTGTAGTGCTGGGGGGGGCTCCAGTTGGACAAGTCGTTGTCGATGGGGCGCGTCACCTCCTGCTCCAGCCGCTCAAACTGCTTCAGCTGTGGGAGAGACAGGCATGGGGCAGGGTGGCCATTGATCCAGCACCTGCTCCCCTCCATGGAGCCACCAGCACAGGTGGCCATGGGCCACCAGCCCCAGGGAACACAGTGAGAGACAGCACCAGACCCAGGACAGCCATGCCAGGCTCCTCTCTGGGATCATGGTGCCTACTCCCCTCTTTACTGGCATAGCACTGGTATGAAAGGCAAGGTAGAACACAATATGAGAACATCCATGGAAGGCTGTGGTCAGACCAGCAGCAGAGGTTACAACAGAAGCAAGACACAGGGCCCTGTGCACAGCAGCACCCACCTGCAGGCCCCAGTGCCCTTACCTGCTGGTGCTCCAGCTGGTCCTTGTTCTGCCGGATGATGTTGCCTTTCTCCAGCAGCTCCTTCTGGGTCTTCTCAAACTCCTCCTTGCCCTGCAGGGGCATGACATGGAAGGGGTCAGTAACATCAGCCTTACCAGAGAGCCTCCACCTGCCCTGGTCCACAAAGCCCTCAAGCTGGAGGGTAAGAGCAAAACATAGGCAGAAGCAGAGCTGCCTAATTCCCCCTGTGACAGAGACATAAAGGCTCCCTGTGGGAAGCAGCCCCCATACCCATGCCCACCTGGAGATGGACATAGTCATAATCCTCCATCCAGCCGCTCTCGCTGTTCTCGTAGGGCCCGTCAGGTGACTCCTGGGCCAGCAACTTCGGAGGGGAGGGCAGGGGCCGTGACTGGATGCTGCTGGCTTTGTCGGAGGGGTGAGGGGGCCCATGGCCACCACTCTCCACCACCGGCTTTGTCCGTTTGAAGAGAAGGGAGGCATTGCCATGCAGGAAGGAAGCCAACTGCTTAGTGTCATCAGGAACACCACGTGAGTGCATGATGAAGTGCTCCAAGTCATCTGTGCCCAGCTTGCTGCTGGCCAGAGCACTGGGAGCCCAGTGGCAAGCGTCCAGCGCTTGGCCGTGCCTTGCCAGGGCCTGGTAGACCTCCTCCATCTTCTGTAGCTGCTTGCTGAGCTTGGTGTAGAGGGAACGGTCAGAGGCCTGGGCAGCATTGCCCACTGCCCCCCGGGCAAACTCCAGCAGGTCCCGGAGGGCTGTCCGGACACCGTCGGCTGCCCCACGGATGTTGGCAGCATTGGCCTCCATGTGCTCGGGGTTGCGCCAGTTGGTGCTGATAAAGGACATGAGGTAGGAGACAGCGCTGCTGACGCCACTCTGGAGCTTGGCCAGTGTCTCCATGGCGGCATCCAAGTCCAGGGAGAACTCCTTGCCGGCTCCCTTAGCCGGCTCCTTCACAGGCACCACGTCCAGCGAGGATGTGGAGATGTTGCTGCGGGTGCTGCCTGTGCTGGAAGCCGAGAGGCGCTTGGCATCAGCACCCTTGGCCTCGCGGTCTACTTGTGGTGGGACGTCGTAGATGTACTCGCCCTCCGTGTCCACAGAGCCCTTGCCTGGGGCGTGCAGGTCCCGGGGCACATCATACACCTCCTGGGAGGGGAAGGTGGATCCCCCCAGCTTCTTGAGGCTGGGGGGCACATCATAGATCTCGTGGGAGAGTGGCAGCTCAGGAGCACCTTTCCCAGCTGTCGGGGGCACATCATAGACATCCTCTGGCAAGTAGGGCTCCTGCTGGGCCAGGATGAGGGGGTGGCGGGAGGGGTCGAAGGTTTTCTGCTTGGCGAAGGCGGGTGGCACATCGTAGGTCTCCTCCCGTGCTGGGCCATCGGGCACATCCTTGCTCACTGAGGGGGGGACATCGTACACCTGCAAGGGCAGAGCAGTGGCACTGTCAGCAGGGAGAGGCAGCCTGGGGTAGGTGTGGAGATGCAGGCTGGCTGCCCCAAGCTGCAGAGCATGCAAGTGACAGCACTGAGCATTCAAGATGGCCCTGGGATGAAGCCATGCACCCCAGGGGTGCCCCTGCCCTTTGAGACAGGAAGCAAAAAATCACAAAGCAGCCCAGGTTAGAAGGGACTTTGAAAGATCATCTGGTCCAACCTCATCCCCTGGATGTGAACATCCAGCAACCCATTCCTTGGCATTCTGAAAGCCTCCAGTGCCAGGGACATCACCACATCTCTGGGGAGACTGATCTAGTAAATTACTTTTCTCCGTGTAAAAATCTGTCTGCCATTCTTACACAAAGCTGGGAGCTTCCCAGCAGCACTTACAGTTTGGTGCAAGTTCTTCTCCACGCTGGGGGGCACGTCGTAGATCTCTTGCCCTGGGTCCTGCCCATTGGGACCCTTCACTGCCATGGGAGGAGTGTCATAGACCTGGAGAGGGGGAACACAGGATGACGTGTCAGAGATGGTGCGGCCACCCACCTCCCCTCAGGGACCAGCTGAAGTGCTCAGAAGCAGCACTGAGGTCCATGAAGTATAGTTTTGGGTGCAATTTAGCCTGGTATGGATCTCAGGCAGTGACCTGGAGATCCATAGTGACCTGGGGATGATCTCCAATTCTTAAGAGCAGAAACAGAAATGTCCCCCTGACATCCCAAGCAGCCTCACCTCCTGGCTGAACTGGCTCGGGACCCCTCCTCGGACAGGTGGCACATCATAGATCTCCTGGGAGCCCGTGGAGATCAGGTGGCGAGGGAAATCGTACTCAACCTGCTCACCCTTGGGGGAATCATAGACATACACCTGGCCCACACGGGTGGGCACCAGCACCTGAAAAGAGGGAAAAGACATGATGTGGGCATTACTGAGCATCTCCCACCCTGCATCATTCCCTCAAAACCCGGCAACGGGGCCAGAGAGAGCACGGCTGCTGGATTCCGTACCGGGCTGCCTGGAGTTAGGGTGTGCCCGGTGCCACGGGAGGGCGCTCCCCGGCCGGGCTGCGGCGGTGCCGGGATGATATCACCGGTTATTTATAGCGGCGTAGAGTCTCAGCGAGAGACAAAGCCCGGCCGGCACAGCCGTGGCACGCAGAGAGCAACGGCCGATCCAGGCATGGGCTGGGGTCTGCCAGCGCCCGGAGATCCCTCCCGACCCACAGCTCTGTGCCTGAACGGGTCGTTTCATGGTGACACCAGAGCGGAAAATAACCAAACCCAGAGGGTAATGGCACCCTGCCCAACCAATGCCAAGGAGGGCTGAGGTGTTGGGCCGGTTTCTTCCTTTTCGGATGTTCCTTGTGCCCTGGCTGTGATTTGGCAGCTCCCTCCCCTCACTGCCTGCTTCCCAGGGGTATGAGTTGGAGTAGCCTTCCTGGAAAACACGATACTGAAAGCACCTCACTCCTCTTCCCGGGGAT